GAATGCTGCAGGAAGAAGGTTCCATGCTGAGGGAGCCACCCGTGCAAAGGCCCTGGGGCAGGACAGTGCCGGGTATGTTTGGGGAACTTGGAGGAGGCACTTGTGGCTGGAGCAAAGCCAGCCAGACAGAGTGGGGTGGGGGAGGTGAGAGCAGGGAGTTGATGGGACAGATGCCTGGGCGGGGGGGTGCGAAGGGAAAAGTTTGGCTTTTTTTAAATTTATTTATTTATTTATTTATTTATTTATTTTTTTGAGACGGAGTTTCACTCATGTTACCCAGGCTGGAGTGCAATGGCGCGATCTCGGCTCACCGCAACCTCCGCCTCCTGGGTTCAGGCAATTCTCCTGCCTCAGCCTCCTGAGTAGCTGGGATTACAGGCACGCGCCACCATGCCCAGCTAATTTTTTGTATTTTTAGTAGAGACGGGGTTTCACCATGTTGACCAGGATGGTCTCGATCTCTTGACCTCGTGATCCACCCGCCTCTGCCTCCCAAAGTGCTGGGATTACAGGCTTGAGCCACCGCGCCCGGCTATTTATTTTTTTTGATACAGAGAGTCTCGCTCTGTCACCAGGCTGGAGTGCAGTGGTGCGATCTCCGATCACTGCAACCTCTGCCTCCCGGGTTCAAGTGATTCTCCTTCCTCAGCCTTCTGAGTAACTGGGATTACAGGCACGAGCCACCATGCTCAGCTAATTTTTTTTTTTTTTTTTTGCATTTTTAGTAGAAACAGGGTTTTACTATGTTGGTCAGTCTGGTCTTGAACTCCTGACGTGATCTGCCCACCTCGGCCTCCCAAAGTGCTGGGATTATAGGGATGAGATACTGTGCCTGGCCATAGTTTGGCTTTTATTCCAAGTGAAGCCGGACCCCAGGAAGGGCTCTTAACAAAGAAGGGGTTTACAATGACACTGTGTGCACAGACGCCTTGTGGCTGCTTTGTCGGAGGCAGATTGTGGGGACCAAGGGCACGACAGCACTGGTGTAGGCAGGTGACAGTGGACACGCCGACAGCCTTGAACATGGAGGGAATTGAGCAGAATCAGGCCTGACGTGGAGGTGAAGCTGGCAGGACTCAAGGCTGGACAAGGTGGGGGTGAGGGCCAGGGGGAGCCCCAGGTCTGCAGCCTCGAGAGGGGTGTATCCCCTCCCTGGGTGACCACAAGGATGCAGTGGTGCTTCCCTGCAGACACTGTGTGGGCTGGGCGTTATAAGGCTTAGGTATCCTTGCTGGGTGATTGATGGCTATTGTTGGAAGGATAAGGCAGGTACTGAGGTGGGCACAGGAGGCTGGACGTGGATCCCCACTTCTGCTCCAGTGGCGGCACAGAGAAGCTCCCGAGGTGGACGCAGGTGACTGCAAGTCTGCCTCATTGGTGTCCCACCCATGTTCGCGTCCTAGCTTTGCTCCTCCCTTGCTGAGCATCAAGTCCCAAGACTCTGGGCCTCAGTCTATCCATCTGTGAAATGGGGCTTTTGGCCCTGGCATTTTTGTGACTTCCAACACTGCTGTAGTTGTCAGAGAATTTGCTGTGATGTTGCCCAAGATGGTTAAGGCAGCCTGTCGGGAGGCCAGCATTCCTTGTGTGGCTCTTATCAGAGTCCTGAGAGGCCAGGGTACGAATGGGCCCTGGAGTATGGGCTTCTACCGATGGCTCTTCCTGTGGCCAGCACCATGCTAAAGGCTGGCTGTGGTGTTACGTGAGACCTCCCAGCCACATTCTGACTTTAAGAGACAAGGAAGGGATCTCAGCCCAGGGTCCTGGCCAGGCCCTGCCAGCACCAGGCTGCCCAGGTGAGGGGTGACTGGCCCTGGGGCACTGGCTCTGGGCCACGATGCTGACTCACATCTTCGGGCTTATCTGTTGACTCTCCCTCCCATGGAAAGGCTCGGGGTTTGAGCCTGCATCACTCCTGCACGTAGCAGTCCCCACCCTCATGGGGGCTGGAAGTCAAAAGGCGCCTGGTGGAGCCTTGTGGTCTGTTCAAAAGACGGTAAATAAACAGCCTGGGCTTCTGATCTGTTGGACTTGACCTGGCACCTCTCCCATCACTGCTGGGTGCCACCTCCCACCTGCACCCTTTCCTGCTTGTCCCCTGCTGCCTTCCTGGAGCCCTTATCTCCTTCCAGGGAGAGGTGGCCCATTTTAGAGCTCAGAAACCCACTCTGGTGGGTTGAAGTGACTTGAGCCAGGTCAAGCAGGTGGCGCGGCCCTCTGTGGCAGACAGGAAGTGTCCTCCCATTTCATGGATGGCGAAGTCAATGCCCACAGAGGGTGGAGACCTGTCCAGGGCCACACAGCCCAGGAGGAACTGAGGTGGACTTTGAACCCAGGCTGCCTGGCTCCACAGTCTGGATCCTTCCCACCCATTCAACAAACACTTAATGAGTACCCACTGTCTGCCAGGCACTGTTCTAAGTACTGGGGATCTAGCAGTGACCAGCCAAGTGCATAGGTCCTGCCGTGTCACAGGACTAGACCTCCATCAGAGGCCATGTTGCTGAGAGTGGGAAGGGATGTGCATTTGGGAGGGAGGGGCGAAACCCATCACACCTGCCCATGGCCAGGTAGGCAGGGCCTATGGGGAATGCAGAGAGAATAGCCCCTGCAAAGGCTTGAAGGCCAGCAGTGCCAGTGAGAACTCAAAGGAGTCAGGTGCAGGGGGTGGCGCTGGGTCAACACAGGGAGTGGGACTGAACAGTTTGGGCTAGGACCAGTCACTTGGCTTCTGCAAGAGAGAGGCTTGGAGGCAGGATCTTCATTTTAGAAAGGTCACTGGGTCCCAGCACTTAGGGAGGCGGAGGCGGGTGGATCATGAGATCATGAGTTCAAGACCAGCCTGGCCCAGATGGTGAAACCCCGTCTCTACTAAAAATACAAAAATTAGCCGGCCATGGTGGCAGGCACCTGTAATCCAAGCTACTTGGGAGGCTGAGGCAGAGAATTGTTTGAACCCAGGAGGCAGAGGTTGCAGTGAGCCGAGATCATGCCACTGTACTCCAGCCTGGGCGACAATGTAAGACTTCATCAAAAAAAAAAAAAAAAAAAAAAAAAGAAAGGTCACTGGGGAAGGTGGGAGGATGGGCCAGGACTCTGGAGTCCAGCCTGGGCCCATAGATAAGAGGCCAGGTACTGAAATGATATAATAGTACTAGGCTAGGTGCGATGGCTAACACCTGTAATCCCGGTGCTCTGGGAGGCCCATGCAGGAAGATTGCTTGAAGCCAGAAGTTTGACACCAGTCTGAGCAACTTAGAGAGACCCTGTCTCTGCAAAAAATAAAAAAATTAGCTAGGCGTGGTCATGAATGCCTGCAGTCCCAGTTACTTGGGAGGCTGAGGTGGGAGGATCACTAGAGTCCAGGAGTTAAAGGCTGCAGTGAGCTATGATTATGCTGCAATTTAGACTGGACAATATAGCAAGACCCTATCTCTAAAAAAAAAAATTAGCCAGGTGTGGTGACATCTGCTTGTAGTCATAGCTACTCAGGAGACTGAGACTGAGGCTTGCTTGTGTCCTGCAGTTTTAGGCTGCAGTAAGCTGTGATTGTGCTGCTGATCCTGCCTGGGCACAGAGCGAGACCCTGCCTCTAATATAAATAAATAAGGCCAGGCATGGTGGCTCACGCCTGTAATCTCAGCACTTTGGGAGGCTGAGGCAGGCAGATCACCTGAGACCAGGAGTTTGAGACCAGCCTGGCCAACCTGGCAAAACCCTGTCTCTACTAAAAATGGAAAGAAATTAGCCAAGCATGGTTTTGGGCGCCTGTAATCCCAGCTATTCGGGGGGCTGAGGCAGGAGTGAGCTGAGATTGCACAACTGCACTCCAGCCTTGGTGGCAGAATGAGACTCCATTTCACATACCAAAAAAGTTAATAAAATACATGATTAATTGTGCATCTCCTATGTGCCAGCCCTACTGTATGCTTTGGGATACAGTGTTGGAGGATCCTGCCTTGGGGAGCTGAGATGCGGGTGTGGGGTCTGTGTGTGAGTCAGAACAAAAGTGACATTTAGCATGTATGTTAGTTCTACAGAGAACAATGAGGTATGCGGGGAGAAGGAGGCAGAGTTGTGGATGGTGGTGAGACAAGTTTCTGAGAAAATGTCATTCGAGCAGGATCACTCTGAGCTTGGCGAGGTCACCTTGTCTTACGGACCAGGAAACCTAGACCAGAGAGGCAAGGCAGTCTGCCCAGGGTCACACAGCACAGAGGTGGCTGAACAGGGACTGGAACACAGGGCAGCCAGAGTACACAGAGGGCATTGTAGCAGCAGCAAGGAGAGAGCAGAGGGGTAGGCAGCTTTCAGTACTCTCAGATGTGGATGGGATCACCGAGGAGGAAGTAGATGACAGAGGCTAGAACGTCACTTCCAGCTAAGAGGCCGGTCAGTGTTCCAGGCAGAGGCGGTTCGGAGGCGGTGTTTGGAAGGCTCAGAGTACCCCTGCTACAGTGTCCCAGAAAGCCCAGGCCCTCCTCACCAAGCTCCTAGGAGATTTCTGGGGGGCTCTTTTTGGACACAGTCCAGGCTGATGGTGAATGTTGCAGCCCTTTGCACGCAGCAGTCTGGGAACTTTTAGAAGCAAAATTGGATGAGTCCTGGGGCTTCTGGTACTCTCAGCCTGGCATGCAATGCCCTCTGCACCTGCCCTGCTCCGTCCTCAGACTCTCCCCTGAGGGCTACATCTTTGTCGCCCAGGCTGTGCCCTCCTGCGCCCGGCTCTTTACAGTACCCCAGGCGCAGAGAGTCGCCTTCTCCTGCGTTGCCCACAGCTCTGTGTACTCTCTTGGGCGTCACTCCCTCCCAAGAGAGAGTTCTTTGAAGCTGCGATTGTCCCTTGTCTGTGCTGGGTGCTGGTGGCGTCTGGGGCATCACCATTGTCCTCATGGTGCCTGGCGCCTCAGACACAACCAAAGCAGAGTCACAGGACAGCATAGGCAAACACCAGAGGTTCAAAGCTAGGCTCTGGCTGGGAGTTACTGGAGAGTCTGCTTAAGACATGCTCGCTCAGAAGGCCCAGTGGCCTGGTGGTTAGACAGCTCAGGCCACCCCTAGATGCTGTGTGACCTTGAACAGGCCCTTCCCCTTCCCTTTTCCTTTCCTTTTCCTTTCCTTTCTGCTGTAAAACTGATCAGTATCAACCTTTTCTTTTTTTCTCACTTAGTACACCCATAAGGGTGTTACATGTCTAGAAAAGACAGGCTCTTTCTTTTTGTGTGTCTGTTGCTGCATACTGGCATGGATAGGCCATAATTTATATATAAATAAACATTTTTTAATTTTAATTTTTATTTTTTTGAGACAGAGTCTCACTCTGTTGCACAGGCTGGAGTGCAGTGGTGTGATCTTGGGTCACTGCAACCTCCACCTCCCTAGTTCAAGTGATTGTTCTGCCTCAGCCTCCTGAGTAGCTGACTGCAGGCACTTGCCACCAGGCCTGGCTAATTTTTATAGTTTTATAGAGACAGGCTTTCAAGTAATTCACCCACCTCAACCTCCCAAAGTGCTGGGATTACAGGTGTGAGCCATTACGCCCAGCCGTATATCTTATATAGAAGCTGATTGAAAATATATTTTTTCTTTCTGAAAATATATATTTTCAATCAGCTTCCTTAGGTTGAACGTAATTTATATTTAACTAGTTCCCCTTTTCTGGGCTTTACAATTCTTTGAGAGCGGAATTTTTCATCTTACTTGGAAACTAACATGATTGTAACAAATCTGTGGGCAAATTTTAATGGAATGCCTACCCTGTACTTTTGTATCTGAATCTTCACAGATATTTTCTCCTTGACTTGTTACCTTTTCCTGAGATTTCAGTTAGATATAGTTAATTGCATAAATCTTAAATGTATATCTTGATTTTTTCTTTTTCTTTTTTTTTTTTTTTTTGGTGACAGGGCCTCCCTCTGTTTCCTAGGCTGGAGTGCAGTGGCGCAGTCATGGCCTCAGTCTCCTGCAGCCTCAGTCTCCTGGGCTCAAGTGATCCTCCTGTATCAGCCTCCTGAGTAGCTGACACTACAGGGGAATGCCACCATGCGCAGTGAATTACTTTTTGTAGCGACAGGGGCTCATTATGTTGCCCACGCTGATCTCGAACTCCTGACCTCAAGTGATCCACCCACCTTGGCCTCCCAAAGTGCTGGGATTACAGGTGTGAGCCACTGCTCCAAGTTTTGATTTTCTTTTTTCTTTCTTTTTTTTTTGTTTTTGTTTTGAGACAGAGTTTTGCTCTGTCGCCCAGGCTGGAGTGCAATGGCGCAGTCTTGGCTCACTTCAACCTCTGCTCCCAGGTTCAAGCCATTCTCCTGCTTCAGCCTTCCCAAGGATTGCAGGATTACAGGTGCGCACCACCACACCCAGCTAATTTTTGTATTTTTAGTAGAGCTGGGGTTTCACCATATTGGCCAGGCTGGTCTCAAACTCCTGACCTCGTGATTTGCCCACCTTGGTCTCCCAAAGTGCTAAGATTTACAGGCGTGAGCTATGGTGCCTGGCCCAAGTTTTGATTTTCTTTTTTTTTTTGAGACGGAGTTTCGCTCTTGTTACTCAGGCTGGAGTGCAATGGCGTGGTCTTGGCTCACTGCAACCTCTGCTTCCTGGGTTCAGGCAATTCTCCTGCCTCAGCCCCCTGAGTAGCTGGGATTACAGGCACGCGCCACCATGCCCAGCTAATTTTTTGTATTTTTAGTAGAGACAGGGTTTCACGGTGTTGACCAGGATAGTTTCAATCTCTTGACCTCGTGATCTACCCGCCTCAGCCTCCCAAAGTGCTGGGATTATAGGTGTGAGCCACCGCACCCGGCCCAAGTTTTGATTTTCTAATAAATGATTGTACCTTGGGACCTACTGGCTAGATCAAGATGCAGGACTTCTTCCTAGTCTCAGAAGTTTCTCATGCCCCTTCCAGTCCATTTCCCAAAAGGGAACCACTGCCCTGATCTCTATCTCCAGAGACGAGCTTTGCCGGTTCAAGTTCAGGTCCACCCTGTGACTCAGCAAGAGAAACAAGGACATGTGTCTACAAAAGGCACATATGAGAATGCTCAGAACAGCTTTATTTGTAATAAATTCAAGCTAGGAAGACCCCAAATGTCCATCAAGTGGTGAATAGACAAGTAAACTGTAGTCCATTGGTGCAATGGACAGATTCGACCATGAAAAGGAATGAACGTCAGACACACCGGACAGACAGGGTGTGATTTTATCACATGCCGCTCCCTTGTTGTTTTATCATTGACATCTTCCATTTGCACACTTTAGAAATAGTCATTGAAAGGGTGGAGCTAGGGCACTGTTTCGAGGGGCACATGCTGTCACTGCTGCTGCTGGTGATTCTGTGTCTAGCTAGCGCCCCATGGTTTCTGACACGCTACATTTGTCTATTTTTTTTTTTTTTTTTCTTGAGACGGAGTTTCGCTCTTGTTACCTAGGCTGGAGTGCAATGGCGCAATCTCGGCTCACCACAACCTCCGCCTCCTGGGTTCAGGCAATTCTCCTGCCTCAGCCTCCTGAGTAGCTGGGATTACAGGCACGCGCCACCATGCCCAGCTAATTTTTTGTATTTTTAGTAGAGACGGGGTTTCACCATGTTGACCAGGATGGTCTCGATCTCTTGACCTCGTGATCCACCCGCCTCGGCCTCCCAAAGTGCTGGGATTACAGGCTTGAGCCACCGCGCCCGGCCCTTTTTTTTTTTTTTAAACGTCGCTCTGTCGCCCAGGCTGGAGTGCAGTGGCACAATCTTGGCTCACTGCAGCCTCTGCCTTCCAGGTTCAAGAATTCTCCTGCCTCAGCCTCCTAAGTGGTTGTGGTTATATGCCCAGCTAGGGTTTTCTCTTTTTTTTTGTATTTTGTATTGTTTTTGTTTTTGTTTTTAAACAGAGTCTCACTCTGTCACCCAGGCTGGAGTACAGTGGCATGATCTTGGCTCACTGCAACCTACCCACCCACTCTTGTTCAAGCGATTCTTGTGCCTTATCCTCCCAAGGCACAAGTGGTGGATTACAGGTGTCCACCACTATGCCCAGCTAATTTTTGTATTTTTAGTAGAGACAGGATTTCACCATGTTGGCCAGGCTGGTCCCGAACTCCTGACCTCAGGTGATCCACCCACCTTGGCCTCCCAAAGTGCTAGAATTACAGGTGTGAGCCACTGCACCCAGCCTTTTTTTTGTACTTTTTGTTGAGACGGGGTTTCGCTGTATTGGCCAGGCTGGTCTTGAACTCCTGGCCTCAGGTGATCTGCTCGCCACAGCCTCCAAAGTGCTGGGATTACAGGCGTGAGCCACCATGCCCTGCCTGAGGCGCTGCATCTCTGTTGTGCAAGATGCCAAGTGTCCCAGCCTCTTGGGTCCCTACCTGTGAGCTAGGTGGCCCGGGTTCTGGGAGGGCCAGGGCTCTGGGTGCTGCTTATAGGGTTAGTTCCCTGGGAGGGCCTGGTGTCTACTGTGTCTGCTGTGAAGGGAAGACAAGGGCCTGTGCTGACAGATGACTTTGGGTTCTGTGACCTGCACTGGGGAGTCCCCTCACCGCTTGCCTCGCTGTAGTCACTCCACCTTCTGATTGATGTAGCTTGTTCCCTCTGTCCCCCTGCTCAGAGAGCTCTCTCCAGTTATCCCAGCCCCCAACCCCTCTAACCCCGAGGTGTGTCTTCCTTGCACCCACCCCATCAGAATGTTGGTGCCAGTGTCACCAGCACCTCCCAAGTGCTCAGGAGCCAGTGACAGAGATTCACTTCTTCTCATGCAAGCCTCGAGCTGAGACCTTGTCCAAGTCTCGTATCCTCTTTGTGCTGCAGGCTCCTCATCAGCCAAATGGGAGGCTGATGGGAGGAGAGTGTAGCTCAGGCATCAGCGTTCACTGGGCGTGTTGCGTTACAGGCAGGGCCCTCGGGCTTTTTGTCATCCTCAGGAGTGCAGCTTGAGGACAGGTAGCATCCCAGCCTGGAGAGTGGACTGTGCTGCCTGTGTCTGCAAAGACAGGATGCAAAGGCCAGGGTTTGTCCCTCAGGGTCTCCCCTCTGTCTTGCCTCCTTCTACCCTCCTGGCTGTTCTCCGTCCAGGCTGCTCCCAGGTAGTGGCCATCCACCTTGCAAACCACCCTTGGATCTATCTAGGGCCTGTCTATTGCCCTCCGTGTCCCTGTCTGCCATCTCCCTGGTCTTGCCCCTGATGTCACTCACCTGAACCACAGCGGTCCCCCCACCTAATTCCTACTCCCATCCTTTTCCCTGCATCAGCCAGAGGGGGATTTTCAAAGCTTACATTTCTTAATAATATGGCCAAAGCTTACATTTGTTATAATCCATCCTTCAATCCCAGCTGGTGGCCTTGCTGTAACAGTGATCACCAGCCTCCTCATCGTAATCCCCAGCACCGCCACCCCCCAACCCCTAGTGCTGACCACTGGAGGCTGCTTCTAATATTTCACTGCCCTGCTCTGCCAGCAGTGCCCCCGTGGGGGCCTTCATAGCCCTGTTGCCGGTCAAGATCCCTTTTTTCATGCAGTCCAGGCTGCAAGCCCCCGCAGTGCTTGGACCGACCTGTTGTGTGATCACTGCTGTGTCTTTGGACCCAGCCAGAGGAAGTGCTTCAGAAGAGGTGGAAAGGCCTCCCAGCTGACGGGGCTGGAACCCATCGTTCAGGGTGTGTGGCAAGAGAACATCATCTCCCCCGACTCCACCCACTGGGTAATACATCCCCAGGAATTTCCAGTGTCCAGCCCTGGCTGAGAAACAGTTCTCCTGGAACCCTCCAGCACCCCCTTCAGGGGTTCCCAGCATGGGTAGGGCCACCCGCTAGCTGGGAATGGTTGTAGTATTAGTGGCGCTTGGTCAGGGACTCAGGATGCTTGGTCAGGGACCCTGGATCTGTCTCATTCTATACAGGACACAGCTGTACAGTACCAATGGTCCTGTGTCCTGTATAAATTTTCAACAATGCAGACATTCTTCTTGGTATAAAACCTGTGTGAAATTCTCTGTGCCAGCTGAGTGTGGTGGTTCACACCTGTAAACCCAGCAATTTGGGAGGCCAAGACGGGTTGATTACTTGAGGTTGAGTTGAAGACTGGCCTGG